GGCAGCTTTCTGAGACTTGCTGCCTGCTACTCGAACCAAATGCCTCCTCATTTGTCTTAATTATGCTCCCTTTATGGATTATAAAGAGGTTGTAGGTCCCTCTTTGACAGCACGAGAAGGAACCGATTAGCACATCACATAATAGGTAGCGTGGTTCTGACTCCCAAGGCTTCAGAGTTCCCATGTGGAAAAGCACTTTACTGAATCTCAACTATAAAATGAGAGTTACTGTAAGGATGACGAAGGAGACTGATGAGAAAATCCAGAACATAGCAAAGGTCAAACGTGTCGGAGTAACAGAGGACGGGTAGGTCAGACAAACAGCACCAGCTACAGCTGAGCTGTGCCACTAACTCCAAACGGTACCCCGCACCGGACAGCAACGCTTCCCTCTACGTTCCAGCCACAGTCTAACGAGAACTGGATTAATTTATTTCTGCATTTGAAACCCTCCTCTCTAATCAGGGCCTTTCGTGACCACACCGTGGCAACACCTGTCACACACAAACATGTACCTTTAGCAGAAGGGATGAAGCCTAAAGACCGCACCAGTTGGCAAGTGCTTATTGCCATAGAAGCCAGACCAGGATACTCTGGCGATCCGCAGGGGGTCCGAAGGGGGTCACGACTACAATAGTTCTCTTGAAAAACTCACATATGAATGGGTTTTAACCTTATTTGGTTAAATAATGATGAAGAAAGAGCATTAAAATGTTTAATTACATTTACCTATTTATGTGTATGCAAGCTCTTGTTCATGTAACAGAGTATGTGTGACAAGATCAGAGGCCAGTTTTTAGGAGTTGGTTTTTCCCTTCTACCATGTGTGGGCTTCAGGGATCAAACTCAAGTCACCAGGCTGGCGACAAGAGCCTTTCCCTGCTGCGCATTTAGAACACTTAACTCTAAGAGCTTCATACTTATTCTTTCAAGCAGTTGCTAGGAAAGCCTTATAGTAGGCAGATAAAAACACACAAGACCTAGATCCATTAAAAGATAAAAGATTCTATCCCTGTCCCCCACCAGATTCTGACAAGAGATGGGTAGGGTACCATGAGCCTTAAGGAGTGGCGCAGACTCAGACAGACAGCAGAACCCAGCCTACTAGAAGACTCCTAAGACACGCAGTAGGCGACCCTCCTGGCAATCATTCAGAAGCTGCTACAAACTCAAAGTGCTGGGAAAAGATGAAAACAAGGAAATCAAAAGACTGTTTGGAGAGCATCACTCTGCAATGCCTTTGGTTCACAGCAAGGACCTTCGTGGGCGTGGCTGCCTGGGTGGCTCAGCTTCAGCATCAAGGAAACAAAGATGGGTTAAAGGTTACTTGGTTATTTGTGTAAGTGAATCAAGAAAAAGGGCTTTGGGAACTAACCACACGCTCTGTATATAGTGAACAACACTAGGGATAGTCCTTAGATCCCAGTGACGGTGAACTTTCAGTCATCCCTGACGTTGACAATTTCGAAGCCACTATGAAACCTGGCTCCTCTCTAAAGCTCAGGCTAACTCCCTTCAGTATTTTCCTCCACACCATTTGACCATAAGTCAAATCTTAGCTCTAGATGTCAAAGCAGGACTGCCAATAATTAGGCCTGGAATGTACCCAAGCTAACAGTATGGTATAAATGTTCCTCATGACACAACGCTACTGGCTGCATTCATACAGAACACCAGACAAAGTCCTACAGCGCAAGGCAAGGGAGTGTTCAGCATCAATGTACATATAACAACATACACAAAACTAGAAAGAGACTATCCCTCCACCACACACATGCAAAACAAACGAGCCACACGCTTCCACATTACTTGGGATTTGGCCTCGTGTGACACAGTCAACTTCACCTCACAGATAAAAGAAACCAGGTCCTACAAAAGTTCAGATGGCCAGACTTCTCACTCCACCCTCACCAGACCAACCAGAAAGCAAACAAACAAAGCCATTTCCATTGCTGACTGACTCATCAAAGGACTTAAAAAAAAAAAACCTTGGTAACTCTGTGCTATCCAGCACTGAATGTTAAACAGTATCATAACAGGCCCCCAGAAAAGTGTAAGTTCTGGAAGGTGCATAGGACCAAAGCAAGGCGAGCTCTGCAGTATTCCCCAAGGGGCTATTCCCTGGGGGAAGGCAGAGCTGCTAAGGCAGAAAAGACGGGGAGCCTCATGTCTATGAGTGTAGTCTTGTCCTTTGCTAAGGCTCTTAGCTGCACGGAGGTATAGTTTTCCCAACAAGCCAGAAGCAAATGCCAGCCAGGGATGGGACTGGGAAAACAGCCTGCTAGAATATAAATACTTATATTCATTTAAGTTTCAACGGAGTCTCTAAGGTGCCATTTCCATTTGCAGAGCTGAGTGATAAAAATCACGGGAGAACCTGCCCATCTCCCCTGAGCGTCGTGACGTCAAACTTCAGGACACACTCTACACAGGCCCAACCTCAAACTTCTTTCAGCTGATTAGAAGGAATTTGTTGCTGAAACTGAGTTTTCTGACTTGTTCCTTTTTTACTTAAATTTTTTCTAACATCGCATGGTTGGAATGGCTACTTACTGGAAAGAAAAATAAATATTACAAAAAGGAAAAGTACAAGAAAAGATTAAACCAGTACATTATGTAGCAAGACTTTTTGGGTAGTATGCATAGACATACATGCAGGCAAAATACCAATACACATAAAATAAAAATAAACCTAAAAAAACCATTAAAATGCAAGATCAAGACGTATATTACAATATGTACATTGCATGTACATATGAAATTATCCAATAAAAAATACTGCAAAAATAAATAAAAACTAAGCTGCATTTTAATTAGTAATTCCGATACTTTGAAATACCCTTGAAATTGGTAATCCAAAAATACCACAAAAAATCTAGCATTTCACTAGTCAAATTTAACACACTCTGCCAATAAAGAAAATTTGATATTTATTTATATTAAAAATTGATTTATTGATAAAATGTTAACAATGTGTAATTTTAAGCATAACATAATATTAACATAAAATGTTAACCAACTGTAAAAAACTGGTTAAAGATGAAACTCAAAATGGGTCAGCCTACGAATGACCATGCTTGAAAAGCATTTAAATGGTAACATCCTATAAACCATCAATCTTGGTGTTCTCCAAAGTACATCCAAATACAGGCCATGCTGTCTTTTGGAGCAGTAGGAACAGGAGACTAGGCACCATAAACTTATATTCAAATTCTAGTTCAACCACTAAGTACTAGTAACCCTGATATACCTAACATCCTCTGAGATGATACTTTCCAACTTGAAAAGTGACAACAGACATGGACCACAGGAGATTCATCCTTTATTTGGAAAGTGACAGACAGACAGACATGAACCACAGGAGATCTTTCCTAACCAGGGAACAGACTTGTGTGAAGATGTAGAGTGTCTGAAACTCATTTCTTTGTAGGTGCCTCTGAGATTAAATGACACAAAACCACACTGTGTCCCTCCTTTGTCATATGAGTGAGCTGGAGTCAAGACTAAGTCATCCCCAACAACTCACAGCTAGGCAGGTTAAGGGTCGAAACATGAAGCAGATCTCCAAACACGGAGCCCAGAGCCCTAGCCAGCCAGCTAATACAACAAAGCCTGCCCTCTCTGATATCCAATGAAAGGAAGGTGATCATTCATTCAATCCTTTACTCTGGCACCAGGCACTATTTCCTCTGTGAAGGGCCGGGTAAAAAACAAAAGAAAAATCCTTGGCCTGAGTTTACATTGTGGCTGAGAAAGATGCACAAGATGAGCAAAATACAGGTTCGATTAGAGTGGTAAGTGCCATGAGGAAAGATGGAGACAGTAACTGTTTCAGGATGTGCAACTTTAGAGGCAGGTGCCACTTAAGAATCTGCAACAATACCGAATCCACTGTAGTTTTCCTAAGCATTTCCCAAACAGGGACTACTTCTGGATCCGGGAAAGGTCTGGCCTGCAGATCTAATTTGATTGATTGTCCTAACCTATGAACTGCCAGCTATGAGCTGTCATATTGGTGATCTGAATTTCATAATAACAAAGACATCTGACCTCTTAGTCCACAAAGAGCTAGGATAGAAGTCAGAAGTTTCAAGGGCACTTGGATTGCTTTTAAGTTCCAATATCTCCAAAACCAAAGATTAAAATACAGCGTATGTGCTGAGTTCTGCTGGGACAGAGCTCTCAGAACGGCATACACATAATTTTCCTTTTTCTGACTTGCCAATTCTAGTGACACTGTCTACCATTAGTCTATATTTAACCAGCTTACTGGGCACTTTCTCCAGCTTTTAGCTCGCCCGCCTCCCAATATTAAAAGAGCAACCCACTTTGCCTGAAGGAAAGTTGCTAAAGAAAAGACAGCAGCCTCCTTGCAAATTCTGACCCGATGCTATAAGCTGGGTCTGAACCTTTTCATTACCCTGGTAAATTAGGCTAAGGTTTGTGTTGCTGAAGTTTTACAGTGCTCTCTTGGTGGTTACAATCTCTTGGTCCTCGACAACAACTGTATCCAAAGAATCCTGGTGGGTCTTTCCAAATTCGCAACAGTTTAACCTGTTTGTAACAAGGGAGTGGCAAACTGACAGTTGGGCTTTGAGGGTGGGGGTGGGTCCCACCGAGATCTTACCGCGGGTGTTTGTTTGGCTCCACACACCCCCCTCCCCGCAAAACCCGGCCCGGCCCACTGTGCGGTGACTGGGAGGTAAACTTCTGCGGGGCTCGGCGGGCCGGGCGGGGCCTGTCGGGGAGAACAAGCAGCTCTTCCCGGAGCAGCCCCGCCCTGTTCGCGGCTGCGGGTCCCCAGACGGCCTGTACACCGTGTTTGGGGTTTTGCAGACCTCCCGGGGCTCCCGGGACAGGGCGATCTAGGTGGGGAGGGGGCCTCCGGGAGAGGCCCATGGGGGCCCCGAGAGGCGCGGCGGCGGAACCACGGGATCCGCGGGCGGCCAGGCCAGAGGGAGGGAGGGATGCGGAGGCGATGGGCGGCGGCGCCCGCTCACCTGATGTACGGGCTGGCCGCCGCCAGGATGTTCTTCTGCACCGGGATCTCCTCGCCGTCGAGGACCAGGTGCGCGTCGCAGAAGCGCGCCTCCTCCCGGAACGAGCTGAGCGCCCGCAGCAGGCGCGCGGCGTGCTGAGGGTCGGACACAGCGCTGCCCTCGGCCATCGCGCCTCCTGCTCCTCCGCCGCCAC